CATGATACCCTAAATTTCGGTTGCTGTGGTTGTAATTTCGCCCTAGGAAGATTTCCACCTATAGGCCCATCGAAATGACAGTATTGTGAGGGGTGCCATATTAATTAAGTAGGGATTTGAGCATGTGTTGTGATTGTCAGTAGTAATCTCGCATGTGAGGTAAATCCTCCAGAACTTTGATGGTGGTAGTATTCACCTTAGTGCAATGCCTAACTTACAAAGGTCAATGCTAGAATGTATTTAACGATAGCGATTGTACTAACGTGTTAGTCGTTCTATGTATTGGGCTATCCCAAATTGTGGTAATCTTTGTTATCAGAATTGACAAATGACTTACAGCTATTTATATGTTGATTCTTGTTGTCGTAATATGTTGATTCTAATGTAATCAATGATACACATAACCCAACAATGATACAGCATCTTATTTAAGGGAATGGGATATTTGAATCGGGATCTACAATACACAGCCTGTTGATCCTGCCATTGGTTCGGCTTGTTCATGATTGTTTGGTGTCAACTGGCCTGTTTGCTCTTCTCTTGTTCGTCCTACCTGCAAGTTACCAGGTAAATGTTTATCGATGCAAACAGTCCACATAGCAAAACTGAAACTTGTAGAAGATAAAACTGAAATGTACTTGAAATGAAATCTTGCCCTTATAGTGGAGAAATGTGCATACCTGCCCTATGGCATCTTCTAGATTTGACAAGGGGGATAAACACGCCAGTTCCATTGCTAGTTCTCCACAGCTTCGCAAGCCAAATTGGTGCTGAGTTTGTGTTCTTGCTTTCCCACGAACTGAAATAGCTTCCATGTTGCAAAGAAGAAGAGATATTACCAACTGCCCTGTTTGATCCTGGTTTGCTAGAGCTGTCGGAATGGATATTTTTAGTGTCTTGATGATCTTCCTCATCATCCGCTGTTAAAAGTAGAATCTGTCTTCTAATCTCAGCATAGAAGACATCATCTTCATCAGTCCCTTCATATTCAAAACCAGGGCTGTCGATTCTCATATTCATGTCCATGGTAGGCCGAAGGCTGTACTTAAATTCCATGAGAAAGCCTAGAAACTGTGAAAGCTTGGTTTCTAATTGACATGATCGGACATTTTATAGAAGAATTTGGAATGTAAATGACTTTGTTTAGGGTCAATGTTTCAGGTCCAAAGAAACCTTATGGCTCGACTTGTCTCAAAAAATGGATCTTCATATAGGGAATACCTCTCTTTTTGTATGTTAGTTAATGTATGTCTCTTAGTTTGCCTTTATTTAATATTAAATCTTCAGGGACTGGTTTGTTAAACCAAGTGAATTACAGTGACTTGGACCTCCCTTATCACTTTGAAAAGCATTCAATTTTGACTAAGAAAACGGTTTAAGCTCACGGAATCAGATCCTTTTCATTGCTTAACGATAATTAGGGGAATCAAATATCAGCTGGTTGACTGCTACAGCAGATACTTTATCAGTCGAGTGGTTAGACCATAAAAACATGACTATTTACGTCGAGAAGTTGATCAAACCCTACCAACCTAGCTTTCTTCGGATTCTCTACCCGTTGAAATATATCTACTTTATTATATTTTTATTCCCAACGGGATAATTAGCAACGCCTTTTCTTTTCTTTAAAGACCAAAAGAAGGGTTAGTAACGTTTGTAATTATTGGTCAATATCTTCAAACCAAATTAGTTCATCCATCTCTTTTTCTTATTTTTTAATTTAATTTGGAAGGAAGTTAATCCATCCCTTAAATACTCTAACGATCAGACTTTTTTTTTTTTTTTTTTCAATTTGGACATGTTGTATTGTTTGTCCTCTTTTTCTAATATAAAATATGAAGTTTAGGTGTGATAAAATTTTTGTACATTGTTATAATTTATTCTCCAATTAAAGATAACTTCTTAACTAGGAATTTCTACCCTCAATCAAAATATAATTTATTCTCCCCAAAAAAAAAAGAGAATTGCAATTTGTATTTGATTTCCTCAGATCATCGAATAAATAAAAACATGCATCTTTTGTATTAAAGTGCAAAAGGCTATTTAATTTGTAAAAGGATATGAATTCGATGAATTGGAATTTACAAAACCAGAATATTAGTAAAATGAGATTTCTTACAAATTAAAAAGTCAGATCTATACAAGCAGCGTATACACACACATACACCCATTCACCTGTAAGGCTAGCGTACCAGTCGTGGTACCACAATCGGGGGAGTCATTCCATTCTTATTCCACCTGGCCACATTGCCCTCCCAACCTTTAAAAAAAGTGCAAAAAATTACGATTAATTATGGCCATGAATTCGGGGATCAAATTGCATCCACAACAAAATGGCAGATGATAAAAATTGTGTCAACTTCAAGGACAAAAAATGTTAATTGAGACTTATTCGGATCAAACTCAGTATGATTTGTTCGAAACAAATGTTATTTGCCAAATTCTGCATTGTTATTATGGAAAAAACCAGAGCAGATGATATGAATATTTACCTAAGTTTGGATCAGCTCCCCGAGTTTGGAGTTCCCTGTGTTCTTGACAAAGAGCGCACCACATGCACAAAAGATGAGTGCACCAATCTGGTAATGGTGACTCTGGCAATGAAAAGTGTTGCCTCAAGCGTGTACGGTTTTTCCACCCAAATATCCACCCGAATAGCACAGCCCCCGTAGCAAGGTGAAGGAGGCTGGCTGATCTGCAGGCTGCTCATGCAACTTATAATAAGGAAAATCATTGCAATATTAGATTGTTGTATCAACAATTTCAATTCCAATTCATGTGTTGATTAATTATAATTGTGATTGTAATATCAAATTCATAATGTCACAACCTTAATGTGATAGATAGATTCAATTCTGAAAATTCTAATAACAAGAGTTTGCTTACATATTTCTCCTCTATTGATAATCTCAGAATTGTGTCCCATGGTGATGCAGGGACAAAAGCATGTAAAGAAACCTTCAACAACACAAACAAAATACAACATTAATGCATCACTAAAAGAACAAAAAAAAAAGGATGAAGAAATTGTATGGAATTGGAGTTACAATTAGAAAGATCCTCGTAACACTCGCAAATACTGCTTGTCCACAGTCCTTCCGGCAACTGCCTCATGTATGCTCGATATGGAGAAGTTTCAGGGTCTGGACTGAACACTGGAATTGCAGTTTCAGTTTTAGGTAGAAACATTGCAGCTTTCTGCTCCAAACAATAACACAAATAGGTAAATCAATGAATTTCAAGTTAAAATGAATTCTCAAAGCATTATGTCAGTGTTTTCTTTGATTCAATACTCTGTGTTTTGGCTCTAATTAGGTGCTTGAAGTCTCAGTTTTGCTTGGTTTTAAACCCGTGACCAACGAGGCTGAAGATGGTTTACTCAAGAAATCGAACAATTTATTCAATTGACGTTTTTTTTCTTCTCACTGATGATGATGCAACTGCAAATATATACATTGCAAAGTGCAAACAGAATAGGCTTCAATAAAAGGTTAAATCTGCAACCAATTGGTAGAGGAAAAGACAGTTTTTTCCTCCCTAAAATATGGCGCATATATATATATATATATAATTTAAAGGGCCAATTTGTCATGGGTTATGGGGTCAAAACAAATGGTAGAACAATAAAATGGCTGTGGAATCTGCGTTTTGCATATGCAGGTCAATTGGAATTGGAGAGGGTAATGAACTACATTAATAATCATACCTTCAACTTTTTTCCTTCTCCCTGGAAATCACCGTTTGAGATGTTTCAGCTCCGTGGTTCCTATCCTCCGATTATGACAGATTATTTTCATCATTAACAAATTTTGCACCCTTGAACTCAAATTTTCACATTCAAATATGAGGAAAGCCTCCTTATTTTACTTTGCTGTTGAGATTAAAAGGGATGGGAAATCTGAAGTTTAGGATTCTTTTTGGATAATCAAAAGACATATGAATCTAACAAATTCCACACTTTTGCGTATGCTTGAATATGGAAGTGAGATTGATTTGGGTATTAAATATGTAGTTATTTTTGGATTAAAGGCTTTTTAAGTGATTTTAATCAGGCTATAAGCAAAAGAATCTTAGACATCGATCCTAAGGTGATGCGAAGAATTTGCATGACCCCACATGCAACATTAGTAGATCTATAAGTAGCTTCCAAAGTGAAGGGCTGATAATATCAGGATACTTGAATATCCTTGGATCAATTGAGGTCCAATAGTAGGTCAAGTCTATTTCCATCAAAGCTATTGTTATAGCATGTAAACAATAATCAATTTTTACTTTTGGGTACAGAGGACTAAGGCACACGAGCTAACATGCCTATTTCAATATCTTTTGACAAATATATTTATTCCAGTGACAGATATTGTAAGAACAACTTACTATAGAAGAAATTAGGCGAAAGACAACAAGCTATATCTCCTGTTTATGACTCTGGAAACTAATTCAATAAGTATTTCTTTGATGCAACCTTGTTCTGGTAAACGGATGAATTTATAATTTAAACAATGGAAAGATACAAAGATCAAAATACAAGACAATCCAAAAGAGACTCGAACTAGACAGCACAGTGAAGTATCTGCCAGAAAAGTACAATATGTAATGTTTGAAAGCAACTGTGAACTAAAGAAAGAACCAAACGACGACGATCAACGGATCAGGATAAAAAAGGGACTAGCATTACAACATGATAAATAAACAACCAAATTAAAATTGACAACAATGATATGGTGAAAAGAACGACGAGGACTCATGCAAGCATCGTTTCTGTAGTTGCAGAGCCACGCTCAAAGTAGTTAACGGTCCATTCCTGGTGCGATTATTGGTGGTTTAAGTCCCTCCCGTTTCCACTTCTCAACATTAGCTTGCCAACCTTCAGTAATCAGTGATCTGTCGCCAGTTTTTGTTAATTAAATAAATAAAATCGTATATTTATTAATGATTTGGATATTGGATTCCAAAGAATGAATTGACTATTCCATTAATCGTTACTCCTAATAATTATCAAAAGATGATATATATACTCTTCCACATATTATTGTTAATCACTAAGCCAAGACCTAGGATATATAAGATAAATTACCTATGGAGGGATCGGCCCCCTGTTCTTGAGCTCTCTGTACTCTTGAGAGAGAGAGCAAGGGCAGCAACAGCAATGAACAAACCTATCTCCATATGGAGCTTCAGGAAGTGAAAACAGTTGTCGTAGTTTGGTTCGATATAATCCGGCATAGAGCCACTCGCAATGGATGTTGCCCATAGCATAGTAGACGAGTCCCGATATTCCACATGCTGCTCATGCAATGCAAAAAATTTCATCCTAAAGTTAGGCCTTTGTTTAGTACCCAAATATATATTGTTGACTTTTCACCTGTCTATAGAATTAATCATGGCAAATGGAGATAAAGTTTATTACAACTCACATCTATCCCCTCCATCAATTATCTCAGCTATCTGCCCGAATGTGACGCATGGACAAGAAGAGAGAGTAAAAATAGCAATAAGAAACTGCAAAATTTAAATACGATAAGCTTTTCAGCTAGCTGCAATTACAATTAGAGGGGTCGTCGCAACGGTCATAGAGACCAGTCGGCCATTGCCCTTCAGGATACTGCTTCTGAAGTGGAGCAGATTTGGGATTGGCGGCTTCGATATTTTTCGGATCCATAACTAATAATTTTCCTGGGAGCTAGAAACAAGGGAGTACTAGATGAAGTTCAACGGAAGGGAGGTTAGGGTGTTGGAGTCATGGCATTGGTTCTCAGATATTTATGGTTTCCAAATGCTGATATTTAATTATGGCTTGAAAGTGATAAGGGAACTAATTAAGTTGATTCATGAAGAAAAATATAAATTCAATTCCTGAACTCGGAACCATATATGACCTCAAACCTATGGATCAAAGTTCCTATTAGACACGTAAATAGCAGAGAGACACTCAACCCCAATTAAATATTTTTTATAATAAATAAACTTGCGGTCATTGTTTATCTTGAAGGGGGCCTTTTTTAAGATTAGGAGTTATGCAATGCTGTCATTCATTATCTTCCAACTCGGCCTTGGACAACAGCCTTTTTTTATTGGTCGTTGACTTCAGCCATGAGAAGAACGGAAACATTAATTTTTGCAGTCAGTCATGTAGTACTCACAGAAACTTCATTCAAGGTACATCATTGCTTTATTATAATATTTTTTTGACATCTATTCTGGTAAGGAAATTTGGGTTTTCACTTTCCATGAATTATATAATCGTGCATCATTGAAGACTTCAAGTCTCTTTTATTGATTTACAAACGTCGGTTCTTGTGGCGAGAATCCTTTGCTTTTCAGTTTTGTATTGAAAAGTGAAAGCATTTAAAAAATTCGCCCATTTCTTAGGCAATTCCTTGTCTTGTAGTGGATGCTCACATAAGAATGAATGGGTCAAATAATGGAAAAATCATGCGGAGTATACACAACTATAAATGATGGGAAAGGAATAATAACTCAAAAACGATTTTCTCCATATTTTAAAATTTTGTAATTTAAAAAGGTTGTTTCCGAGGTCTGTCATTCAAATGCATCGAAAAACCAATAATGAATTTGAAAGCTTAGTTTGATGGTTTCAGATATTGTCCATTTGCAAGCGAAAAAATGGACAGCATACTACTTTTAACATCAAATTCATGAAATATATAAATCCAGCTATCTAAGAATTTGAGCATTATTATCACAAGAGAGACTTGCACAATTACCTGACAGCAATGGGCTCTGTTCCTTGTCACAAATTTTCACTTTTCCAGGCTAATTAGCACAATAATTTTAGTTTAGATTTTTTCCAATTTCCATTTTTTTGCAAGCATAAATATATTCCACGTAATTTTGCCACAGCCAATAAAAATCATGCATGATTTACGGTTTCCCAACTGTTTCCTTGAAAAGACGCGTTCCTCCTGTAATGCAATATTTGAAACCGAACACTTTTGATTTTGAACATATAAAACATGCATTCTTCGATCTCTTCCAACATTCAATGCCTGGTATAAACATAATGTACGGTATTCCTAGTTCAATGGAGTTCGAAAAGGAGTCACCACTGCCATCACCATCAGCGCCTCCATATCCACCACCGCTTCCACCGTCGCCTCCGTTAGTGGTTACTCCAGCCACTAACTGTCAGATACCATTAAACAAATCTAAGCCATCAAATCCTCCAACTGCTCCCAATCCAGATTCTCATTCTCCTGTGCCATGGTCCACAGGCCTTTGTGATTTTTGCGACGATTGCAACAGTTGTAAGTTACAACATTTAACCAAAGTTAAACACACGACCATGTCTTCTTCAACTTAATTTATCGTCACATGCAATTTTATACTTTTAATTGATCTGATTCTATCGATCAATCGGCAGGTTGCTTAACATGTTGGTGTCCATGTGTAACATTTGGTCGAATTGCAGAAATGGTTGACAGAGGATCCACTTGTACGTTTCAAGAGATCACAAACCCTTTTACTAGAAATTAATTTCTGTTTAATGTATTGACAAAATATAAAAATTATAGTAATTATAAATGGTGCATTGCCTTGGTGGGTGCAGCATGTGGATTGAGCGGAGCACTTTACATGTTGATATTGTGCGTAACGGGTTGTTCCTGCATGTACTCGTGCTTTTATAGATCCAAATTGAGAGGACAATATTTCTTAAAGGAAAGCCCTTGCACTGATTGTTGTATCCATTGTTGCTGCGAAGAATGTGCATTGTGCCAAGAGTATCGTGAGCTCAAAAACCGTGGTTTCGACATGTCCATAGGTAATCATTTTTATACAATATTTATAGAAAGTAAGGCTTCTTAATTAATTTAACTATCCCACTCTCAGGATTTAATTTTTACTTTGTTTATGACCATTGAATTATATATAGGGTGGCATGGAAACATGGAAAGGAATAAAAGAATGGCTGCTGCAATGCCTCCAACAATAGAAGGCGGCATGTTTAGATAGAGCTATGATTCTATTTTTTTTCTCGTTATTTTACACAAGTGTAGAAATATAATCAATAACTAACTTACATGAACCATATATCTTATTTTATCTAAACAAAAAATCAATAGTTTAACATCCATTTTTCTTTGATCATTCTTTTACTGTTTGATATTTTTCTTTCTTTAAATCAATAGTTAAAAAAAAAAAAGACCCAACATATATAAGGCGACAAATTCCCATACTGTAGGCTAATTAAGGGAGGTGGTTCAAGTCATGGATTTTGCTTCAATTTTCAAAAAAGTGGATTGAACAGCAAGATCAGTAACTATGAGAGCAGATGTTTGAGTAGTTGGCCATATCTTCTATTGAAGACCACTCTTTCTTGTTCCCAAAAAAAAAAAAAAGAAAAAGAAAAATCCCGATGCGGCCATCCCATTTTTGAAAAATCACTGATCATTTAAATAGGAGTATGGAAAAGTTGACAAAATTATATGATTTTCATATCCTTGATATTTTATGAGTACATGAAAATAATATGTAGTTTAGCTAGTAACCTGTGAATTTATTGTTAATGTATTCGAGATTATTTGATGTTCTCAATTTACTACAAAGAATGAAGACATACTTCTTGGTTTTTGCTGAAATTTTGACTAGGATATAGTCATTTAGAACTTTCATGTTAGATGTCCCTCATCTATCATCATAATAAGCAAGATAAGGAAAAGCAGAAGAGGTAGAAGTATATCTGTCAAAAAGGGGTCCCCTCGAACCTAGCGAAAGCTAGTTAAGAGCTTGGATTCCCTAGAAATTATAAAAAAAAAAAAGAAAAAGAAAAAAACTAAAACACTTTCAAACGATTCACATAGTTAGCACTTAGTAGAATTTGAATATTCGGATCTATTCCATGAACAATTGGTGATAATTATTCTATTGTTCTACTGGCCAAAAAAAATTTATTCTATTACTCCACGCCATGTGAAGGGTCATGTTTCACTACATCTTTCAACATGTGAATCAAATGATGCATTGACTAGCCTCAGCCTTTTTTTCTTTCAAGAAAAATCCTAAGCCTTTGTTGACAAAGCTAAAGTTACCATTTTGACAATGATAGAGAACTGCATTAGTTGAGCAGCATGTTATATGGTAGTCCTCAAAACATGGAAGAGGCTCATACTTATGATCTAGCTAGTTTTTCATTTTTTAACAAATATATTTTATGATAATTAATCTCATTAGTTTGAATATTGTTCGTATCATTTACAATTATCTTTATTACAATTCGAAAGGTCATATCAGTATAGTTGGATTAATTTCATAATTATTGTAATTCGTTAAGAAAAAGGAGTTTACCTAATCCAAATGGTTCACATGGCCGTCTATAAATGACAGAAACATCAAGAATTCTATCCTCTAAGTTGCAAGCAACAATGACCCAAACATAGTTGCTTGAAAAGATGTTATTGGGAGGCAACCTAAAAAGTTTGGGCTGTGATGTTTTGACTCCACTACATGACATGTCCCTCAATTCGTCAACAATATTAGGCCACATATTCTGAAGTAAACTTTCCTGTTCATATTGATTGTTTCCAACCTATATACTTGTATCATTCGATAATGCTTGAATATCTATCTCATCTTTGACCCCCGAACTTATGCCTTTAATCCAACTCTCCTTTCAATTAGATTGTGCCTTTAAGATTGAACTTATTTCGAACTTAAAATATTTCAAAAAAATTTGATTTGAAAAATTAAAATTACAATCAATTAATCTCAAATAATCTTTATTATATATGCACACAACTATCACATCTAGTAAAACAAACCAACATACTAATAAATACCGTTATATATGTAATTAGAGAAATTAAACAAACAAAAAAATTGGGAGGATTTGACACTTGAAAGATTCAAAACCTCGTCATGTCGGTCCGGCATGATGATTATATATTTTAGACCTTGAATTAATGTGACAAATGTGACATAAGTTCAATGTATGTTAATATATTTGTCATTCACTAGTGGGATGGCTACTTTTAGGCTATTGCAATGGTAGTGGAGACGAGACAAAGTGAAATTACTGAGAGGATTCCAATGTGAAAAGATTAATAAATAGAGCTATATAAGAACCGGTGGAGTTTGAGAAACGTGAATCTGGAGGAAGACCAAGATAAATTAAAGTCAGATTTGGGGTCTCCATTGACTTCTATTTTAATAATCTTGAGGAAGACCCTGTGTTTCATAGCTCAAAATGGCATGTGTTTTTCCTTGGCAATTAAGCCCACCAAAATTTGTTCATACCTTGACAGTAGTGCTGTTTACTTTTTTCGGCATACTGAGTGGCCCCAACTACGCCTTATAATTAACAAACAAGCCACCAAGATTGAAAGTGCGTGACAACAAAGGTCAGATCAATGTACCCATGATTCAGCGGAAACGCTCGACCCCCACGCTTTGATTCCACGTAAAGACATGTAGCTAGTACCCAGTTGCCCACTTGGCAACAAAGTATGGAAGTGGGACAATATCTTTCTCCTCATTTGATATTCCAACTAGCTCTCTTTCTCTCTCTCTCCTTATCATCTTGTTTCGTATATAAGCTATCTTAAGCAACCGGAAAATTCCAGTTTCTAACTTAACTCTTGTTTATTACATAATTTCTATGAGAAGAAGGAGAATGGCTACGACCATTGCTCTGGATCCAAGTTTTAGCCTACAGATTGGGAGGGGTTTAAATCAACATGGAGCTGTGATAGAAGAAATTGAAGGGCTGATTAAAGTGTACAAAGATGGACATGTGGAAAGACCACAGATTGTTCCATATGTTAGCTCCGCATTGCCTCCGGAGCTTGGTGTGACGTCAAAAGACTTGGTTATCGACAAGTTCACAAATGTTTGGGCACGTTTTTATGTCCCAAAGTCAAATCAGAAGCTCCCTTTGGTCGTTTACTTCCATGGAGGAGGGTTCTGTGTTGGCTCTGCCGCTTGGGGTTGCTACCACGAGTTTCTAGCAAAGCTAGCCGTCAAAGCTAGTTGCTTGATCATGTCGGTTAACTATCGTTTGGCCCCGGAAAACCCTCTTCCTGCTGCTTACGAAGATGGAATCAAGTGTCTAATGTGGTTAAAACAGGAAGCACTAAATGGGTCCAGTGAATGGTGGTCTAAGCAGTGCAATTTCAGTAGCGTCTTCTTAGCCGGTGATAGTGCTGGTGCTAATATTGCTCACAATGTGGCCATAAGACTTTGCTCTAATAATCCCCACCCTTTAACTGTTAAGGGTAGTATCTTAATACAGCCGTTTTACGGAGGAGAAGCACGTACAAATTCTGAAAAAAATATGGTCCAATCTCCTCGGTCTGCCCTCAGCCTAGCAACTTCAGATACATATTGGCGATTGGCATTGCCATGTGGCACCAACCGTGACCATCCATGGTGCAATCCATTGGGAAAAGTGTCAGCAAAAATATTGGAGGAGATGAGGGTTTTGCCTACTCTAGTGTGCATATCAGAGATGGATATATTGAAAGATAGGAACCTGGAGTTTAGTGCTGCCTTGGGTAAAGCAGGGAAGAAGGTGGAGTATGAGTTGTATAAAGGTGTTGGTCATGCATTTCAGGTTCTGAGCAAGTCTCAGCTCTCACAAACTCGAACCAATGAAATGATTGCCCATGTCAAGGCCTTCATTTATCAGTGATATAATGATCTTTCGTAAATTCATTTTCAAACATTTAATTTTTGTGTAGTTGTCCCATAGGCCATAGCTTGTAAATTCATTTTAATACTCTTGTTAAGTATATATAAATCACACTTATGATTGTAAGTGACACTTCAGGTTTAAAGAATAAGCATATATGGAAAATTAAAATTGTCAAAATTTAAATCTAATAATTGAAACAAAAAATTCAACCCTCAATTAACGAAAGAATACGTTGGCCATACGTCTTAACCATTGGACATGGAAAACTCCAACTTGCCTAAAAATTCTGTTCCTCCGGTTATTAGTGTCTGACATAAAAGTATGACTAATAGAAACCTTTTGACTTTTGAGGAATGGGGGCATTATAGACAATGACGTATGCCAAAGGTACAAGGAGACCTAAGAAACCATTGAACATGCCCATCTGCGGTCTGCCCCCACTATTTGGAATCAGCTTAATGCTCAAGGATTTGATCAATAGAACTTAACAAATGGCACTGACTTTGATCCTGTATTGGGATTCCCTGGAATATTTTACTTTTGATACCAAACTTGAAGGCTTGAAAGCATCACCAAGGGGTGATCCTTCTCCTAACGGTTTTCAGCTTTCTCAAGCTTAACCATGGACGCCTGCTTGAGCAATCCAGGGAAAGCTGGTGCGTGCAGAAGCATAATCAGAAATCAAAATGGGGAGTACTTTATTGCTCAAGAAGTCTTGGAGTTGACTGTTGAGTTAAATTATTATGGTGGCTGACAGACGGGTTAAAAATCCTTGCTCAACGTACAATTCCCAACTGGCACCTACTTGGTTAATCAACTCACCAATATAACAACAAACAGGCGCCTGTGAAATCTTTAATTTCTGATTGCAGGTGGCTAATGAACAAGCTGGGGGTTCGGGAAGTGAGGCATGTCGCCAACCACCAAGGAGTTATGCCAATGAACATGATTTTGACTATTGTACTAAGCGTTAATCCAAGTAGCTGATCGGGAACTAGTGGTAATATTTTGGGAGCAACCCGCTCCAATAATCTGTGAAAAATTTCTACTTCAATACTACAATCCTCCTTTTATTGGTTAACAATCCCCTTGATAATCCAAGTTTCTCTTAACCATGAAGTAATTGCTCTTTCCGTTCTAATTAATGGTAGGGGTACTCATGTATCCTAATGTGTAAACCTTTGAAATTTGAAAAAAAAAATGTCATTTTAAGCTTCGATTGTATTATTTTAATTCAGAACCTTTTTAAAGAACCCTTACAATTATTTAATTAGCCATTTTTATTAGATAGTTAATTTGGTCAAAATTGGTGGAAAGTGTTCAATCGGGCAAACACCTTTTCGATCTATTTATATTAATAGCAAGGAATAATTGAAACAAATAATTTATTAAAGAGATTTGAAATCTGTATACAATAATTAAAAAGTTTAAAGAGTACCTGCAAATTATTCAAACCATAAAATCTTCTGTCGACTATAAATTGATAGATAGATAGTATATAAAACATTCAATTTTCAGTGATATACATAAACCAACTAACTAGTTTATATATATCAATTAGAACTATATATCAGTTATTTATTAGGGAGGAAAGCCTAAATTAAGCTTTTATATGTAATATTATATAAATTCAATTACGGTTTCGGATATAAAGCTAAAATGAATGTACCACAAACTCTAAACCTTTTTTAAGGTCCGAGGTTGATGTGTTGGTGCCTTCATTTTTGCGTCCATGGCTTCAGATTCTTGCTCAAATGAATATTCCAGATATAAAGCTAACGTCTCATTTCCTGCAAAAGCATATGTATTTTTTTTACGTTAACATAAACATTTATTTATTGCTCAAAATTGGAGAAGATTAGCAAGATTTACCTCCAGAATTCTTAACCTAATCTCATCTCTCGTATGCCATTGACACGAGGCTCCTACAATGTTAAAAACCTAGATGGTGATCAAAGGCTCCGTATTTAAACTTGAAGAACTTCCGGTAATAAGCAATTATAGAGTATATGGTAATTCAATGCTTGCAACCCTATTACAAAAGTTTAGGTTTATATATATATATATATATATATATATATATAAAAGATATATACTTTGGAGATGATAAGAATAATTAATAAGAAAACAGAGGAAAAGAGAGAATAAAAGTTACTGGATATTTATTTATTTATAGAAATGAAGAATGGGTGTAAATATACCTGTTGAGTTTCGGAATAAATAAGGTTTGGGGTTTGTTTTTCTTCCTGGAGGGTTGCTTCCATGTTTCTTGCGCGAGACGAGGAAGGGTCAATGTCTGGGTTCACATGAAGTGCAGAGTGTTGTAATTATGTATGCGAAGAAAATAGGCCCTAATAATACTCTATATATAATTTTTTTTTGAATGGAGATTTGGTGGTTGGGTTCAATGGGGTTGAGCCACCAGTCCGAGTTGACAACGCTTCAACCACCAAAATCTATGATTATGGCTTAAGAAGAATTAATATATAAGAACTTAAGAGGATCATTAATATTCTCTTGAGTGGCTAGAGATAAAATAATATTTAAAATTTCATAATCACTATGTTATTTCTTCATCTCCGAGACATGAAAATAGCATCATCCAAAAAACAAAAAGATGAAGACCATAAAAGTATATAAGTATATATCTTCATCTCCGAGAGAAGTAAAAACATTCTTTTTTTTTTTCAATCAAAGTGTGGATTGCCCTAAAAACTAGTATTTGATGAGATTGGATCTGGAGAAAAAACTCGTTTATATAATTTAAGTGTTTTGACATATATGTTGTGTTCCATGGTAAATTTGTAATAACCACTTATCCATGTGAGCAAAAAACAAAAAAAAAAAGGAGAATAAGAAGAAGTGGAACTAAGTGTCCAATCATATAGATGTGTCATGTGAACTCAATTGAAGGGAAAGTTTGAGGACAAGACTTTGAGAAGGCTTATGTTATGCATGGGGATTTGGCACAACTTCCTTTCAAATGTCCCAATCAAAAATAAATTGAAATTTCAAGTGGTGGTGGGTAGCTGGGATTGCCGTGACTACCCTTCGTCTTAATCCTCATTTTCCTTTTTATCGTCAGCGAAATCACTACTTATATTTGAAGGTTGGTAGACTTCATAATGCATGTCCTACGTCTTCTACTTCCCCAAAGCTAACACCGTTACTTTTATTTAATGACCACTTACTTTTTGAGGGTTACATTTTTTTGGTGAATACACCCTCAAAAAAGTAAAAGGAAAAAAAAAAAACCCAACAAAATTTTTTTTTGGTAAACACAAGTTTTTATTCTACTAGATCACATCTTCTCAAATTATTACTATTAACCAACATTAATTTAAAAAAAGATTAATAAAAAATATTATTAAAAATAAAATATTACATATTAACCAAACGTACACTATATTCAAAGGCATAATGTAGTAAAATTCTCAGCCGGGGCCAGGGGACATGTTTTTCGTTTGAGAACCAAAAGAATAAAAATTAATAATATATAAACACCAAAAATCAAATATTTCAAAGATTAATTAGGGATATGTGTCTCAAGCTTGAACACAATTTCAGTAGGCAAAAATAGCTTTCTGCGTCAGTCCAGCCCACAAGATGCAACGAACGAAGCTAACAATCAGAGCATAGGAAAAGACAAAACCAACCAACCTGTTGAGCAAAAACAAAGCACCTCCAGAAAAGTGGTCTTTGTCAATTGGGAAGGTTTTGACAGTGAGTCCTAGAAACAAGTCTGGCCTAGCTGGACATCAGGACATGGTCGATTGACTGAAGTCCTTGGTTAGCAAAATAACGGACATCAATATCTGGGTCCTCACTCAGCATAGCCAAGCATGGACGGATTGTCTTCTTCACCACCTATTGCAATAAAAACTAATTAAAACAAGAAAAAGATGGAACCAAAAGGTGGTATGTTATGTTGAAAATTGGAATACGAACAGACTGATCAGCGATGGGAACAAGAGACTGCAAAACTTTTGCCACATTAAAACTTAATGTTGGCAACCCTGCAGAAAGCAAAATGTAGGCAACCAATTAGTGATCACTTGATTGGAATACTAAATACACCTTCCATATTGATTTTGCTCACAAACCTGTCTTTTGATGCATTGATGATAACTGGCAACAGTTTAGAACATGTTATTTCTGAGCCCATAACAGGAGCAAGGAGAGAAATTGCACGGAGACTGGTCATCCGATAGAGATACTGTGAATTGTTAGCCATCTCTAACACCTGCTCAGATAACAACCAAACTTCCTCGTTAAAGATAAAGCGTAAACCCAATGAAAAGTAAATTAAATAGGGGACATCATATACACATAGCAAAGGTCTATTCAGTGGGGTTATTAACAAGCCAAAGAATGGAAAAAACTAAAAAAAAAAAAAAAAATCCACAGAGAAATTATCAAATCAATTCTCACTAAATCAAAGTAATGCAGTCCATGGCTTAAAAAGAAACGAAAAAAAATCAGTACAGGCCAAGCAGGGCATTCCTGCAAAAACAATGTAGCTCATAAAATTTTATTTTGCCATAAAGGATTCTCGTACAACCAAAGCAAAGACATAAGGACAAGCAAAGAAATTTGTTTATATTTCAGAAAACACTTCCTATTTGCTTTCAGCAGTAAAAGTAACATTTTTTCTTCTTTTAGTTTACTCTCTTTTTTTTGGGTGAAAATTAAAATTATTGGACAAACCTTTGGAATAATGTGCTGCATTGCCCAATCTGGGCCAAATTCTTCAGCAAGACGCTTTAAATTGTTACCAGCTGTATCTCGAATAGAGTAAACCTTTAATAATACCCATGCAAAATAGTGCTTAGATTAGATATCATAACATTGTTTGCAATCAGTAAATGAATATTAACAATGTGGCAGTTAAAGCATTCACATATTAAAAACAGACTTTTCAGTTTATATGTTACTCCCTCCTAGCCGACTTAATATGCTGATTGTAGCCTTCTAAATAATAATACTAATTAGAAGCCAATAGCATTACTTCCTGATATCATCGAGCAAAATACGGAACAAAGCAACATAAAATGTGGATGCATTAGATATATTTTACTTGAACTAGTGCATTATCAAACTAGACAAAAAAAATTTAGAGAGGAAAGAATATTTAGCAAACTA